ACCATCAGAAAGGCTCCTATGTAGGCAGCAATGAGGCAGATGTGTGAACATGGCACATTCCACATTGAAGACAACTTGCTAGAGTAAGGGCAGATCCACACCTGGTGTCTCTAGTCACCTGTGATAGGTATTGTCCATGAAGAACATCTGCTGCCAGTGTATCTTTGGAGAGTTTATAAAATTGTTTGCACTTTTGACTCTACTACATAAAAACTCTCAACCTGAAGTGTAAAATTAATCAAGACATCAGCATAACACTCTATAGCATCAGATGTATAACCTTTACACAGAAAGTGTAAAGAAAAGCTTAAACGAAAAACAACTGGAATACTTTAACTGATATTGAAAGAACTAATCATGTGATGCAATCGGAATCTAAAACTAAGACTGGCATTTGCAGCATGCTCTACCATGATTGCACTTTGGGCACTTCCAGAGGTAAGAAAAGAAACTGATGTTAAAAACTGGATAAAGTTCAACAAAATTTCAGTTTTCTAGCAAAGAATTTATAGTGATTATAAATACTTCATAGATAGAGTAGCTGCAATCTGTGATTTGATATGACAACCGTCTACCTGAAAACTCATGTTACTGTTGTGTAGAGATGTTGATTTTGTTTTCACGAGTCAGCAATGGATTGAGGCAACGCCAGTGGAATTCCATTGGCTTCAGCAAACCTGTATTGTGAAATGCACCTTACCTTGTTCCGTGTTTCAGATTCTTACACATTCTGGTAATTGGAAGGCCAACAATTCAATCTTGGAATATAAACTAACACTGTATAAATAACCTGCAGTTGTCCCCATCTTCAACATCTCTCTGTGCTGGCTGATATGCAAAAGGACAGAAGAGCATACAAGCCAAGTGAAATCCTATGGATGAGAGAAATTTTATCATTTTAAATGCAATATCAGAGATGTGATTTGTAGATTTGATAACACTCAAAATTCTTTGCCTTTTCCATTAGTTTGTTATTTGAACCTCTGTAGTAAGCACTGAATTTTTGACATTACTTTTTTTTTTTTTAAAACAGTGACAAACAACAGAGTTTTAAATATGTAGATTCTCCAGATCAGAGAATGCAGAGGTGCAGTTCTGTACCAGGCACTTTGGAAAACGAGGTTCTTAGGTATAAAAATTTTGTTTTGCATTGGGATTAAAGACTGTGGAAACAGTTTTTACCTTGGCACCATTACTAAGTACCCTAATGCTCTCTCCCATCATTGTTTAGAACAGTTGTTATACCACTTAACAGACACCCAAAACTCCACAGCTAGCTTGTTTTGAATGATGCTGTGTGCATGCTGGTTTAATATAACCTTGAGCTACCCTTTGGGCAAAGGAGAGTTTGAAAATTAAAAAGCTTTAGAAATAATTTATCCATCAACAGAAAATATTTTATACAAACCTGAAAGATTGTGGATTTTTAAAATCTCATTTAAGAAGCTACATATTTTACTTACTGCTGTTGCTCAATGAAAATAAAAAAGAATTTCTTATAGAAAAAAAAATTGCTTAAAATGAGACAGTTGAACAGAAAGACTTGTGTGCCTATGAACTATGAAGCAGTTCCAGACTGCTTATACTCTGCCTTAAAGCTGTGTATTTTTCTCAGTACTTATGCAACGCATTTATATTGGAAGACCCTCTTAAAACTGGGTGATCTATTGGTTTAGGGAGCTAAAGATTAGTTCCAGATGTAGTCATGCTACTCTAGCCTTTCAGAAAGTAACTACTGCACCATCTGTTTTGTAATAGACAATTTCAAAGAGTGCCAAGGGGGATGTTAAAGACATTGGTCAAATGGCCACATATACCTCACACACAGGAATTCTGGAGGTCACAGTGCCTCAGAAAGATTCATATTTTCACTTCCCCACCCCTCCCTATTCTTCCAACATGTAAACTGAAGGAACAGCTTTCTTTCCTCCAAAAATAGGAAGGAAATGTTTTCCAGATTATTAGCAGTGTTGACACATTTGAATCCAAATTCAGACCTAAATTCAGTGAAATGACTGGAATTCTTGGTGACATATCTGTTATACCTGCCACACTTTGGGATCCTTGTAAGTTATGATGAACAGCTTTGTTTTGTTTTAAATGAACTCGGTAGCAGGAGGTTAATGATAAACTGACTAAATCTGGCTGGGGACCCAAGATAAATGAAGGGTACAGCAAGTAATGAAGGGTTATTCCAGATCGTGATAATTCTCCCTGGTTATTTCAGGAAGCGTGAAGTAAAGCAATTGTGTGCATTTTTTTAAACTACAGTGTTACGCATCAATACCTAAATGTCTGGTGTATACCACAGATGCACTCAGGTGTAGCTAAATTCATCACAACTGTAAAGTAGGAATAAGAGCAGTTCTCTCAACACTTCCTAAGTATAGATTTGAACTTAACAGCAGTAATTCATGATCTATACAAATAATCCTACAAAAAGGTCTAAAATGAAAACAAAATGAAACAGAAGATACAACCATAAGTTAGACAGTCACAGTCTTGTGCAGTTCCAAAGAGTCACTTGTGTTGCAGTGACACTAAGTAAATCACTGGCAAAAATAAATTAATAAAATTAACAATATGTGAACAGTTCATTCCTATTTAGTTTTCCCAACATATCCAGGTAGGTTCTGTAACAAATTCTGTAATCAATTATTACAAAAATAGCTTAGGACTAGCAAACTGGTGTTCCTACTTAGGTTTCATTCGTTCTGCTTTGTTTCTCTCAATTCAAGAGCACTATGCAAAATTAGTACCTTAAACTGTAACCCTTGTGCCTGGGTAAAGTTCAAAGTAAGGCAGCTAAGATAGGAACATCAGTTCCTTAGTGTTTGCCCCTCCTGGATTTTGTTTGAATTTGTAAGTCAGTTTCTATTGCAGTGGTATAAGGGAATTCTATGCAGGAAGATCTGCACTTTTTCAGTATTAAATGATGCTAAACAAAGAACAGTTGGAAAACAGAATGAGAAATGTTTGCATTGGAGGTCTTCATCACAGTCTTTAAAATATCACCTTAAAGTATCACCTAAGATGCTAATATACATATGGATGTGGGAGGATGCACACACATCTGTTCACAAAAGCAAAGACCACACCTTAGGACGAGATTTAATTTAAAATATTAGACTCAATAAATGACACTTAGAACTATCCATTACATTCTGCAGCTACCCAGGAAGAAAATGGCACCTGAAAAAGGATCCAAAATAGACGGTATGTTAGAGGAAAACGATGTGGACAGAGATTAAAGGAATCATTAAGAAAAGACAGTTTTGAAATCTCAGCATTTACAGAGCTAATGTTTTTAATCCTGGTCTTTAGAAACATCTCTAATGTCATTTTACAGAAGTACCCCTACTCACTATTAAAAAAAAAAAAAAAAAGCCAAGCAAAAAAGTAGCAATTTCAATAAAAGTCACTTTTCCAATCCAATGAACTTCCTGAGACTGGTCTTCTTGGAAGAAAATAACTCCAGATCTAAGAGGTTATTTATGGACAGTTTTTGTTGGATGATGATAATACACCTCAGTTTTTCTTAAAAACTGGTAACTTCTTTTGTTGGTCCTTTGGCGTAGGCCAAATTTTGCGTTTGAGTCACACAACACAGAATTAAGGACTGAGCCATCCTTTCAAGCAAGCTCAAGAAGTGGCTTCAGCAAGTCATTAGCTGGAACCCAAGGAAAATCAAGAAACTTGAAATCTGTAACTAACTGCTCTGTCCTTATTCCATAGTGGACCTCACTCCAAATCCAACTCCAACTCTAAGAATAAATCTTTCAGAGCTTACTGTTTTGTGAACTGAGACGATAATTTGCTCCAGCTGAGCCCATCTACTCATCTGCTTGACTATGAGGACATGACATCCATGATACATCTTTCGCACCGGAAAAAATGTGCCAGCCACTTGCTAGCCATTGGGTAGGTCATCCACACTTTGTCAAAATTATCTATTTTGTTTAAGTTGTAAAGATCTGACACTATGCAGCCCAGATAAAAGAGCAAGCCTTTTATTTACTTGACTTGAGTTCAATTTGTGACAGTAGTTAATCATTCACAAGCAAAAGAATAGAGTTTTAAAAAATAACACATTTGTTCCTCACCGCAGAAAATTAAGACATGGTGTACTGTTTAAGAAGTACAAAATGCATACTCCATGGGCTCAATTGTGTTTCTACAGCACGTCTTTTGTAAAACTTTGTTATCACTTTAACTTTCATTGCACAGTAGGAGACTGTGCTACTGCCCTCTTTATAAGTTGGTGCCAAAAATTGTACACAGGAAGGCCTGTTTCCATTCTCAGTGATCTTTTGGAATGACAGGATACTAGTTCTTATTTTGAAGACTTTTTTTTTTTTTTTTTTCTTTTGCATCTAGTCAGGATGCCACCACCTGCCCATACCACAGTTTTGGCACGCTGCAAGCTTCACGTCTCCACGAGTAATTACAGATTTCCCTGTTCGGTGTGACGGGAGGAGCTGTTTGCTGGCCAGGGGGTTACAAGCGTGGTCTGATGAACAGTACAGAAATAATGCTGGCCACAGGGCTCGGGGGCACAGCTATGCTGGTAGCTTGCCAAGGTCTCCCTAGCATGTGTCCTGCTGTGCTGCCTTCACCACCAGCTCACGTTCCTCCCAGGAGAGCAGCAACTGAAGGCCTGCAGCTGTCCATGGGGAGACAGGTGATACCGTGCCACTGCAACCTTTGTACTCCAGAAAGGTTTTCAAGAATGTTTTAACAGACTCTGGGCTTTGTAATATTAGGTATATCTATGATAAATATAAATGTATGAGAAGTTCCGTGCACTGAATGCATAACATCTGCAACTACTTGCAAAGGCTGCACCCATCTCAAAATCTGCCTTTTAAGGTCCTGTTCCGAGAATTTACAGGCCATTCCAAACCGGACTCCCCGAAACGCAGCCCTGCCCTGCCTAAAACCCGGAGCCGGAGCCGGGGCCGCAGCTGCAGGCCGCAAGCGGTGGGCCGGGCCTAGGCGCGGGGGCCGCCGGGAGGCCAAGGGCGCCGGGCTGCGGACGGCGGCTCCATGAGCTGCCAGGTGAGTGCCGCCGGGCGGGCGCGAGTGGGCACCGGGCACCCCCCTGGTCTCCAGCGGGGGCATTCTCGGTTCTCGCGGCAGAAGCGTAGTGCGGAGCCGCCTGCAGTAAGCGCGGATCCGCGGTCGCCTACAGAAACGTCCCCCTGTCGTCCCCAGGTGACGGTGCTGTACTTTGCCAGGAGCGCGGAGCTGGTGGGGCTGCGCTCCGAGAGCGTCTCTGTGCCGCAGCGGATCACCTCCCTCCAGCTCTGGGAAGAGATCGTTAAGATTCATCCCAGGTATTGGGGAAAGCGCCGCGTACAGGCGGTGCATAAAGCCTGACGTTCGTGGGGTGGAGGATTAGTTTTTGTTTTGTTTTAAGAAATACAAGTTCATCGTACAGGCTCGAGCTAGAGGCTGCAGCAGCGCTTTGGCATCAGAACAGCAGTGAACTTCTCTTTGTGTTGTAATAACCTCAAGTGAGCGTTTTGGCTGTGAGCCAGTTGCAAATACTGCGGCTTTACATCTACGTTAAAAAGGCTAAATCCGATAAACGCACCCCACAGCTGGGTATTGGAGAGGTCTGAGGTCCTGTTGTCCAGGATGGCCTCCACGAAGGCACTGCATAAAGGCAGAAAGCACTACCTGTGGAAAGGCCAGGTGTCCCAGGAGGGGATGCAGCCCAGCTGCAGCGATAAAGTAAGAAGGTCTGATCATAGGCAGGTGTTTTTTGATCACTTACCTCTAGCTGTATTCTCAGTTTATGGCAGTCTCTGGAAGGCTAGTGAAGAAGGGAACTAAGGCCCTGGCCCAAGCTTCCTGCCAAACAACCCTTACACAAGAAATAGGCTCAGCTGTTTTCAGCCTCTTCTGACTGGGGGAAAAAAAGGCACTCTTGATTGCATTTCAGAGGGAGTCTTGTTTTTTGGGGGCGACAGCAAGAATGCCTTCATTGGTCAAGGCTGAAGAGTGTGTTGGAGCCTACTGATGATAAATCAGATGCAGAAAGGTGTAGCGTCATTTAGTCAAAAAGAATAAAAGTATAGCGCATAACAGAAGTTATGGGCTTACTGCTGAATGCACCAGGATTTCCACCATTTTAGCTCTAGTTTTCTAGTTTCTTATAAAGTTTTCCTTTGTGCTCAACACTTCTGTGCTCAAGCTAAAATGTTATGAGAAAAAGAATAAAAATTTAGCAATGCTAAGTGTTTCTAAAGGAGTTTTAGAAGAGGAAGGGATGGGTAGAATAAGATGGGTAAGTAGAGTTTTAGAGTAAGGAATGGATGTATTTTACTTTGTAACGTATTATTCTATTTGGTATCAGAAGCACTAGCACCTTTGACGGTTTATCGTAGTTTGTCAAATTCACCCTGTTTTGAAAGGTGACTTGCTGTCCTACATTTTGCATGTGCACATGCCTTTCACAGTGGCCTTCTTGGAAAATGCTTCTGTTCCTAGATTTTCTGGAAAAACTCAACATAATTGTAGGGCACTGACCACAGACTTCTATTCACGTTGCTAATGGATATTCAAACTGCAGCTTGAGCATACTTGACAATGCTCTTCTGTTCCACCCATTTTCCCCAATGAATTAACTTGCAAGTGACATTAATTAGAAACCATCCTTTTAATGGGCACTTCAGTTCCGTAGTTGTAGTCTGTTCTTTAGTGGCTTGCTTTACTTTTGTACAGTCCCTCCCTTCAGTCTGTCCTCCAAGACAGTGCTACTGATTTTCGCTCAGACAGTGCCTTGCCTAGCTGGCTTTAGTCTAGCTGGCTGGTAGGAAATAAGTTGAATTTTACATGTACCCTTTTGGCATGCCTGCTTGTTTCTAGGCAATGCAGCTCTTCGCTGTCTGTGCCAGATTCTGTACTCTCAAACAATACAGTTATTACGCTGCATCTGCTAAAGTAAAAAGTTGGCATGATTTTCTAGTGCCTCAATGGTGTTGTCCTCATACTCTCTGTGTGACTGCACTTTGTTGTGAAAGCAAACCTTGTTTCATAGTATCCAGAGCTGTAGACTCTCACACCAACATCTCAGATGTGAAGGCCAACAGATATACGCAGAATCTGCAGAAATCACAGAGTTCTCAAAGAATCACAGAATGGCCTGGGTTGGAAGGGGCCTCAAGGACCATGAATCTCCAACCCTCCTTCCACAGTCAGGGCCACCAGTCTCCACATTTAATATTAGACCAGGCTGCTCAGAGCCCCATCCAATCTAGCCTTGAACATCTCCAAGGAAAATGCACCCTATCTGCCCTCTTAGCGATGCTGTCACCCTCATCAGTAGCAGACTGCTGATCTGTAAGTACAGAAGACCAAAAGCCTTTTTGCGGTTACAGAACAAGAGTAACAGTCTGACCACTGAATCTTCATGAGATCTTGAAAAACAAAGTATTGAGGGATGGTGTTCTTGACAAAAATTGCTGTGCAGTGCAGCCACACTGAATAAGGAGAGCATTTCCTTTTAATCCCAAATCAGATAGTTTGTATATTCTTGAGTTATCTAGTTATTAGAAGCTTCTAAAGTGAGTCTGGCTTACGTTGGTTAATTTTTAATAAAATCCAGTGACAAACCCTGACTTTTGAAAATTGTCCTTAATTGGTTTCTCCCTAGCTCCAAGAAAAAAAAAATCAATGAAGTGGGTGCTTATAATGTATGGTATTTTTTTCTGGTGGCAGTGACAGGACCTGAGAGAATTGGCCTGAAACTGTGACAGGGGAGGTTTGTAGCACTGAGGTTGCTGTAGTTTGAGGAGCATCTGGACAGTGCACTCAGTCATGTGGTTTTGTCATTTGTTTTTTTGGGTGATCTTACTTGGAGCCAGGAGTTGGACTTGGTGATTCTTACGGGTCTCCTCCAAATCAGGATATTCTATGATTCTGTGATTTTGAGAAGTATATTGGAAGAGAGTTGCTTAAATCTCAGCAGCATTTACCTCAGTTGCCCCAGACTGTCTATCAGTTTGTTGTTAATGAAATCTCGTGGTTGAATGTAAACACTCTAATTAGAAACCTAACTGTGTTCCTGCCAATCCCCTCAGGCTTGCTGTCATCCGGGAGCAAGTGGTTTTTGCTGTTCGGCAGGAGTACGTGCTTCTTGGAGATCAACTTCTGGTCCTGCAGACAGGAGACGAAGTTGCAATCATCCCACCAATTAGTGGAGGCTGAATCTGTGCAAGTTCTGAGAGGTAGGTATCACTTCTTGCTTCACGTCCTGTAGAGGATCATCCAATGTTAAAGTATCTGATGCATTCTGTACAATCTTTTTATAATATTTTTCTGGTAAGATTCTGAGATTCCCCATCTACATCTGGTACTCTTTGGAGAAAGCATAACTTTTGTTTCCTGCAGAAGAGAATTGCAGTGCTGACCACAAACTATAAGCTGTTGCATGAATAAATGATTAGCACACACAAGTAAACGGAATAAAATTGGCAATGAAGTCAGGCACTGTGTTGTTTTGTTTTTGCTTTTAGGTCTTATTTTCTTTGGTAGTTTTTTTCTGATTGTCAGTAGATATCCAGCTTGCATAAGTAAGATTTTTAACTGAAAGGATGCCACTTTTTAACATAAAGGATGATACAGAAGAAGAATTGTTTGCTAATTAAAAAAATACTTTGTTTTTTGCTGTCAAAGGGTCAAGTGTCTCTAGCACAGATTCGTGCTTTCCAGTGTAGCTTATTCTACTCCTGCTGCTCAGTCCATTTATATTCTTCCTCATCCTTAGATGAACTGGTAACTGGTGTATATACAAAGCATTTAGAAGTGGCATCAGTGTCATTGAAACAGCTGATAGGATGAAAACTTGCATGTCCTGGTGAGCATATTAAACTTTGAATTAAATGCAAGTTTAAACTGTGATTGATTATAGGATAAGACAGAAGGAATGGGCTGACAGGCTTACCAGAAATTTGCTAACATAGTGGTTTGTGCTAGTAGATTGTACTGTTGAACTGAACCTTCAACTAGTTGTTTTGTCCTACTACACCGGACTTTCCTGCAAAGCAGGAGCCCATTTGCCTTAGAAAGAGATCTTCCCATGGTATTTGCACTTACTGTTCTCTCAGCAAGTCTGCTGAGAAGTGAATTTGCCATGAATACTGGTCTCTTGGGGTGAGTAAGAAGATGGTACGTGTTTTCTGAATAAATTGGGGCATCAGTATGGGATAAAAGGCAGTTGGCAAATGTTAGTACTGCCAAAAACAACTGCAGAATCTGTTTGGTTTTAGCCCTTCTAGGGAGCCATGGTTGAAAGAGAGGATGTGCCGAAAGATTTTATCAAGCTCAAGTCTGAAAAGCTGTCTGTAGATGAAGTGTCAGAACTGGTCATTTCACCATGCTGTGGGGCAGTGTCTCTTTTCATTGGTGAGTTTAAAGTTTTAGAGCTGGATCTCTGGATGTGTTAATAGTCTAATAAATGGAACCCAGCTTGTCCCACACCCCAAACTCGTGCTTCTCAAATAAATGCATTTCTGGACTGAACCCAGGACGTTTAGAAAACTCATTCTGAATTATTTAGAACAAGACCATGGCAACTCTTAAACAGTGCATTGAGACTGAGTGGTGAGAAGCTTCCCTGCTGGTGTGGCTGTTCTAGGACTGAATGGAGCAGCAGTGCTGGAGAGCAGTCCTGCTTATAAGTTACTCTGCTATTTCCCTGCACACAGTTTATTCAAGATGGAAAGTAGTGACTGCAGTAAAACACAGGTACTCACCTGTGTGAAAACTGATACAGTTCAGGTCTTGTTGAAGACAAAGTTTTGTTCTACCAGTGGGCCGGTGCAGTTTGAGTTTGCTGGCTCCACCCTGTTGTTTAAAATACGTGGTATAGATCTTCAAACTGTTTTTTTGCTTAAGCCTGAGTACCTGTGGGCTTCTAAGTACTAAGCACTTAAATAAATTAGCACAAAAGATGTTCCAGCTTTGAGCATTACAGACTGTGTATTTTCGTAATCTGTAGGCTTATTCCTTGTATATTGAAATTTCTTTTGTTTGAAGAATCTCTTTACATAGCCATAACTGGAGGAAGTCATTTATGTTTAGAGTGCTGTCCTTGGCCTCAGCAGGAGGTCCTGAGTTTTGCTCTGTTTTTTTTTTCTGTTGCTTTCCTTTTATAACTGCATTTTTGTTTAGGTACTACGAGAAATAATTTTGAAGGGAAAAAAGTGATTCGCTTAGAGTATGAAGCATATGCTTCAATGGCAGAGATGGAAATAAAGAAAATCTGCAGAGATGTTAGACAGAGGTGGCCATCAGTCAAACATATTGCAATGCATCATAGACTTGGGTATGTACGGATAGACCATATTCTTCTTCAAATGGTATACTAATCTTTGAATGACACTTGCATACTTGAAGGTTGTGCAGGAGTCTATAAAAGCTGTAAAGCGTCAAAGCTTGCTACTGGATCGTGCTGTCAGTAAGGAACTAGGTTTCAGAAATAAAGTCTTGTTTTTCAAAATATTTTTATTAGTAGTATTTGCCAGAATCCATATTAAGCTGTCAGAAACCTCAATCCTGCTGTTATGGTTTGAGAGTGGAGAAAAGAGATCAAGATTTCCTTGCAGGAGAGAGCAGGCCATTATGTTTGTGAGGTTCTCTTCCACTGCTGCAAAGTGTCACTGTTTTTTTTCCTGTCAGGTTTAAGTAATGGAACCTAAAATGTCAGAATATGAGGTTGAGAGAAAGGCATTGTAATTGCCAGTCATACTTGTAAAAATATCTCTTGTTATTCCTTGCATTGGATACACATTTTTTAATTGGATATAAACCATGGAATGGTTTAATATAGTCCTAAGCTTTCAATGTTCATCAGATTTTTGGCTGAAACTAGCAGGATTAGCATTGTGTGTTGCAAATATTTGTTTACTTTTTTTTTTTTTTTTTTCCACCCCGCAGGAAGAACTTAGAATGAGATCACAAAGGTTAATATTAACTCTGAGGGGTAGTTTCTTTGGATTTCTTCTACAGTCAACAGAGACAGGAATTAATTCTCTCTGAAGAGCAACTCAGAGTACTTGAACTTAGGTTTTTCTCTGAGCTGTTTGCCAATGCAGTCTTGCTAAGTAGAGAGGGCTGGAAGGCAGCTTTTGGGAGTACTACCCTTGTGAGGAGTAGTACAAAACCTTGTGCAACTTCTGTTAGCTTAGTAAAAATGACCCACCAAATAGAAAAAGAAACACACTTTGAAGTCAACATTTGGCAAAACTAAAGTTATGCTGCAAAATCTGTGTACTTTGAGATACATAGTATCTTTTTTCACATATCATCTCAGTTTGCATAAGAATTTCTGATATTTTTAGTTAGCTTCCTGTTCCAGACCTGTTACTGTTCATTATTAAGCCCAACTTCTGGACAGTTTCCTTTGTTGCAAGATAGTAATTTTCATCTCTTAATTCCATGGACTTATTTTTAAAAAAGAAGAAAGAATAGAAAAAAAAAAAAAACCTGTGACTGGTGGTTCTATTTATTTTAAAGCATGGAATTCCTGCATCTGATGTTGATTTTAGTTGTGGTTTTCTTTCTGTTTAAATGTGCATAATCTTTTGGACATGGCTTGACAGTTGCTCAGTGTGAATGAGTCAGGAGTGCATGTGACCAGAATACTGATGTGACATGGGTACAATCTTTGGGTGCTGTAGATGTTAAGCATTAGCTAAAACTTCTGTTGTTGTTGTCTCTCTAGCGTGGTTCCAGTAACAGAGGCAAGTGTAATTATTGCAATCTCGTCTCCACACAGAGCAGAATCCCTTGAAGCTGTAACACATTGCATCAACACTTTAAAAGCATTTGTCCCAATATGGAAAAAGGTATGTTTGGGACAAATTTGGTTCTAGCCACTGCAAGGATCTTAGACAGCTGGACTGCTGCTGGCTCTTAGGGAAGGAGCTATAGTGTTATGGGCAGCAGTTGCTCCTGTAGAGATGCTTTTTTCTTTTTTTTTTTTTTTACTTTAATGCAACCAGGCCTGAATGTGGCATTCAGGGACCAGGAAAACCCTCCCTTGCTTGTGCCTCCCAGCTACTCTTCTTCTTAATGCCTTTCTGGGGTAAGAGTGAAGGATTCTTGAGCTCATCTCTTCTGAGTAAAGTTCAGTTCTGCATATACTAGTGGAAGAACTTAGAATGTATTGTCTTGGATGGCATTGCAGTTTGCAAGTAGAAGTGGCATTTCTTTCTATTTTTCTCTCATCTCTATGGCTATGGATAGGCACAAAGCATTAAGAAGCAGGACACACACATATAGCAACAGCACAGAGTGAAGGAGTATTCAGTGGTCTGAAAGCTCGTTTAGAGACACAATAATGTGTGTAGAGTGCAGCCTAAGTCTAGAAAGAGCCACATTGCATAACCACAGGATTACATGCAATTGGTGGACGTTACCTCTGCCTTCTCTTACTTTCCAAACTTGGCATGTAGTAACAGTAGTTTCTTGAGTTGCTCAGTGTAGAACAGTATCTTCTGTATCACTTTTCTGACACCTACTTCAGGAGACTGAAGTTTTATGATTCCAGAAAGAATAATTGGGTTCACAACGCTGCTAAATTTGCTACTTGGGACTGGACTGCTGTTGGGTAGTCCAGTCTATCCTGAAGATGTAATGCTGTATTTTGAGTCTTGGTGTTATTTTTTTTTTTTAAACACATTTTCTAAACATTTAAACACTCTAATTCCTAAAAATGATGGTAGTATTTAGTACACGAGTGCTGTGTACTATACAGCTTCTGCATCCTTTCTTCTAGATCTCTTTCTTTAAGTGACTTCAATATAGATGAGGCCTTCTAAATGTAATGGGTTCAGCTCCAGGTTCAGCATGTGCCCACATGTAAGTCAGTATTTTCTAAAGATGATCTCCCTTTTCTGTTTGCCAGCTAAGTGTAGTGTAGTCCTGATGTGGTCAGCAAATAATAGCAAGATGGCTGTTGAATTGTTTGGCCTGGCTTGTGCAGGCCAAACAACTGTGACTGTATGTAGTGGACTCCCACAATATTTCTCATTCTTTGTTTGTATTCACAGGAGATTTATGAGGACGAGTATTCTTGGAAGGAAAACAAGGAATGCTTTTGGACAAATTCAGAAAAATAACTGTACTCTTTTATAAATAAAGTGTTACTGCTCCTAATGAGTATTCTGTTCTAGCTTTGAGTTGTTCTTACATAGAATCTATGTGATCTTAAGCAATTGTAATAGGCATTTCAATCTGAATAATTTAATCAGGACTGTATGAAATTAATGAGCAGTAGTTAGGATTTTCTTAAAGTGTTAAGTGTTCTTAAATCCTTTGAAAACACGGAGTCAGTTTTTAAAACTATCTTTCCTAAAATTCACGGCTGCAAGACATTTAGTCCTCTGTGATATATACTGCTTTAGTTCTTCTGTGTTTGTAGTCTTTGTTTGCTGTTTTCATGGGAGGTCACAACAAGACAATTGGATACTAATACTCTGCCAGCAACAAACTTGCACTAGCAATAGCACATAAACTTGTATTCACCTAATGATGTCTAGACATGATTGATTTTGAAGGAGTTTTTTTGGATTTGTAATTTTGTGATTCTACGGGAAAAACATCCTCAAGAATAAGTTTAATTAGATTTAGAAGTTTGACCTTAGGCAGGTTAGGATGCAATGTCATCAGAATGGATTCGTTGTTCAAAGAAAAGTTAAATCTATTGCATATGTACATTGCAAGGAATTCACAGCTTATATATGCCTTTAAATTCACATTTACATTTTTAATAGTTTTTCACTTATGCTTTACAGTCTAAGAGGAAAGGACAGACATAGTATGCCTGTTCTTCCACTGTGGACAATAGGCTGCTTATCTGATTAGAATTGTTTTCTTTATATTATTCTGTACTGCAAAGTATGGTAGATGTTAAAAGTTCAAGGTGGCATTGTGTGTGATATTTTTACTAGTGGCAAATGGCAGATTTATCTAATTGTTATCGATGTAGAGAAGAAAGGTATTCTAAGAAAAGGGGAATGCAGTTAAGTAAAATCATTTTTACTGAAGCTGATATATCATTTCATAATACAATACTTAAGCCTCAGCTGTATGAATCTGTTTCATTGTGTCTGCAATAAAAACCTTCACAGCTGCTAGCAGCACAAAATGAAACTGGAAAAATAGGCAGTGATCATTTTCCCCAGTGATGTCAGTCATTTTTAATGCTTAGTGATGGTTACTGTACTGGGTTACATAAACCCCAGAAAAGCATGCAACTTCAGGTAAACAGGTGGTTAAACTGGTTAAAGCTTTATAGCTTGCTGCTGCACTTTCCCTCAGTGGGAGTTCTTCCTCTGCAGGACAGCAGCTGCTCCTTGTATGCATGTGTATACACAGTCTTCAAACCATGTTGGCTCTATTATCTAGGCAGAGCGGAACAAGTTAAAGGTTGCATGGATGTTGGAGAGAAGCCATCTGTTAATTTGAGTGTCATTTTTGGTGGGAATTGTATGGAATCCTGACTACAGATCAATTCTTCAGACAAGTAATTATTTTTGTTCTTAAAAAAAAACAAAAACAAACCCAAAAACCAATAAAAAACAATCAAAGACACAAACAGTTTCCAGTGTTTTTGTGTTTTTGCACATTAATTTGTTTGTTGTTACTATGCAACTGATTAATTTCAAGCAAATGGCTAGCTTGCCTTGTGATGTAAGGTTTATGATAGAAGTAAAGCCTGTACAATTTTTACATGCTCAAGCTGTGCTTTGATGCAGGAAGACTGATACTTAGAAGAGTTAAATTGTACTTGGAGCTCTACAGATTCAGAGAACCTTAGGATGATCTAGGTTGGAAAAAACATTCAAGATCATCAAGTCCAATGATTGAGGGCAGCTCCTGTGTAAGGCAAACTCTGTTGCCTTCGTACTTCTCTGGTGCTGCAGTCTCTTTGAGGATTTGTCCAGGGTGACCTTAAGTGCACCTTCTTCAGCAATGCAGCTGGGAAGGAGGGTGCAGAAAAGAAGAGAAAGAATAATGGTGTACTTCCCTGCAGTGACCAGGAACAATGAATGGAAGAGATGTTGTACTGAGTCACAGCTGAGTGCTACAATGTGTGTATGCTGCCATGGTCAAAACAATGAAATGTCATTTTATGTCCCTAGCTGTGCATGAGGCAAGTAGTGCTTTGTTCTGGAACAATGATGCATCAGTATTGTGTAACTTTGGGTTCTTCTGCTGGCATCTGAAAGCAAAATGGAAAAGTCCCTAGGAGGGATGATGTGCATAGAGGTAAAATGTATGTAACTGAAATGTAAATACATAACCTGAACTATTTGTTCAGGCTCCTTCTGTTGTGCTACACTCTGCTAGAGAAATTATTTTAAGATGGCAAATTACTCTTCTCTACCATAGCTGCCTGAGGCTATGTCTAGAGCAACCCAGAACTGCTTCCAAATTTCCAGGCCTGGGGATGAACTTCAGCTGCTTAACTGCATGTCAGAGAAAGATGAGGCTGCACATGTCCTGGTTTCACAGAACTAGGCTGCTGGATGAAAACTACCGAGTGTTCTGATGAATATGAGCTGGACAACAGAACAGTATAAATGCAGATCTTCTTGTCTGGGATGAGTGCAGCTTTTTCTCTGATTTGACTATAAGTGAAGGTAATCCTACGTCATTGCTGCTCTTCCAGCTGCGTCACAGTAAGCTATAGAGATGAGGCTGTGAGGAGAGATGGATGTTCCTGGAAGCAGACCCTGTAAACCAGAAGGTAAATCTGTGACTAGTGTAGTGACCTGCATGACAAAGGGTACGCTGGGGGTGAAGAACGTGTCTTCAGAATGAGAATTTGTCCTTCTGAAATGTCTTGGATTTGACTGGTGATATTTAAATAGACTGTTCCCTTTGTCTGCACATCAGCATTGCATAAGTTTAAGTTTCCTGCATCAAAACTTTTCATTTTGTTCTGTTCACAAGAGAAGCTCAGAATGACACATTTTGAAAACACAATGTGAAAATGCAACTGATGGAAGAGACACCTACCCAGGAGATGGCAGCAGAGGGACAGATGTGTGTGCGGGCAGCCACCTGGGAGCACAGCCGCGCTGTGCTGGGCTCCATCTGCAAAATACAGGTGCTCACTTCTGTAATCCATGAAACTAGCACTGTTGTACTCAGTAATGAGGCCTTTAAATTACTCAAGTTTAAAGTAAACTGGCTTTTCTTTCAGCTCACTTTGCCTTTAGCTGTTCAGGGAATTTCTGCTTCACAGACTATCTAATCATAAAATCATAGGAAGGCTTAGGTTGCAAGGGTCCTTAAAGACCCTCTAATTTGACCCTCCTGCCATGGGTGGGGTTCCCACCCACCCGATCAGGTTGCCCAAGGCCTGTCCAACTTGGGGCCCTGAACACCTCCTGAGATTAACTTCTTTGTGTAGCCTGTGCTAGTGCCTCACCATGCTCTGAGGACAGAATTTCTGCCTAATGTCTGATCTAAACCTCACTTCTTTTAATTTAAAGCTATTTCCCTTTGTCCTATTACTATCCACGTAAAAAGTCAGTCTTCCTCCTTCAAGTATTCTCTTCAAGTACTACTAAAACTGTTGATGGAGTATAATGAAAGTAGCTTCGCCCTAAGCTCTGAAAACTCAGTTTTGGGCTTCTCCATTAAGTGCTGTCTTGCAGAGGTGTGTGAAGAAAGAGTTAAAAATAGGTGGGTGACTATAAGTGAGCAGTGTTTCTTTTAATATCTAAGGACAGTGATTTTCTTGGTCCAGATAATATGAGTCATGTTACAAAAATTAGCATCCTTATATATTTTGATAGTGATTCTGTTTTAAAAGTTTGATTTCTGCTACTTTGAGGGAAAGAGGTAAATCACTGTTAAAACTACTAACATGTCAAAGCCTGTGACTGCCTATGAAAAATGAATCATAAATGAAGGCACAAAGGTTGATTGAAAAGATAGGACTTGGCTTTTCTGAGGTTGTGTAAATTATGTATGCTTTATTACCTTTAAAGGCAACAATAAATTGAGGTAGTTAACTATCGATTTCATATTTGTATCATTTCTTTAATATGCAAGGTTTTGTTGCTCTCTAGTTTTGTATATAACAGATAATACATGCTAGTTAGTAGATAAGGAAGCTGGATTTCAGTTTTCCTGAACAGCAAAATGGGGTGAATGACAGAATCTCATGCCTTAAGATTAGAAACATTTGATTCTATTTTGTGGAAATTCTAAGGTTTGTAGCCGTAAAGTATATAGACACAAAGCATGGGGCTGGCAGAATACAGTGTAATTTCAGATGCCATAGAAAATAATCATATGCATATAGGAAGGCCTGGTGCTGGTGCAGCTTTGTATACCTCACAGAGTCATCACCTTAGGTTTTTTTGCTGTGTGCTATTGGAATAATTACATATTTGACCCATTTTATGCAGTGCTTTTTCAGTAGCGTTTCTTTTCTTTAGGGTGCTGTATAAAAATAACCGAGTCTCTGTTCAGCAGTATTCTTGTTTTTATTATTATAATGCTATTAGGCCTTCAGGTAGGCACCACAGAAATACAGTCCCTGCTCTCAGAGAGCTTACACACTAGTTTTCAGAAGTCTGTTTGCTTATAAACTCTCTTTTCCATCTACATCTAGTCTCATGTGAAACTCCGAGTTTAGACTTGATTCTAGTACTTCCAGAAGTCAGCAGCTAGATTCAATTCTAAGATCAGATATACCTTGAGATTGTTGAAAAGAGTTCCTGACTTCTCTGCTGCAAGCACAAACAGAAGCACATGCTAAAGTCCAACATTTTGAGTATTATTTCATTTGCAACATGCTATTTTTTTTAAAAAAAGTAAAACTAAAAAATCCATAATACAAAATATACATAATATTTCCAGCATTATTTGTGGCTGTGCCAACTTAACTTAAAAGTGCAGTAAAGTAACCCATAACAAAAATTGAACTAGCCAAGTATTAATTATAAAAGAAAAATAAAACTAGTAACTTGAAGTGGTTAGGATAGAAAACCTTACACATTGCTATGCCTTCCCTTTATTTCAGGGAAAGTGTTATTCCCAGGATTGAGAGGACTCCTGTTGTCTGGGACAAAATAAAACCTAGTGTAGACTGGTGAGCAGAACTGTTGCTGTCTATGAACTGTTAAATAACCAAGACG